CTAGAGAGATGCTCCCCCTCCCCTAGCTTTTATGAGAGATAATTGACAAATAAAGATTGTATATATTTTAAGGCATACAGTGTGATGTTTAATATGTCTGTATTTTGTGAAATGGTCCCCACGATAAAAGTGATCAACACACCCATTGCCTTACAGATTAATTGTCCGTGTGTCTAAAACACTCAAGAGCCAGGTGTGGTGGTGTGTGCCTGGAATCCCAGCGACATGGGAGGCTGAGAAAGGAGGATCTCTTGAGCCTGGAAGTTTGAGACCAGCCTGGGCAACAGATTGAGACCTCATCTCAAAACAAAACAAATCATAAACAAAAACTCAACAACAAAAAATAAGAAAAGAAAGAAAGAGTCCAGCAATCTCTGCTGGGGCTGTGCTTCTGATTGTGGTGCTTCTCAGAAGTCCCTGAACCAGGAACACGGAAAGCCCGCTCTGCACCGAATCTCATGTTGGGATCACTTAGAGAGAAAGGCCGTCATTATGGTCTTCTTCTTGGGTCCAGTTTGCAGGACTCGGGCTTGTTTTGTTTTGCTTGTTGTGTAGGCGATGACCGGGGCAGGAAGCAGAGCCCCCTGTGATTATTAGGGTTGGTGCTTCTCTTAGTCCCATTCTGTGAAGCCTTGAGTTGAAGACCAGTAGCCTGGAATCCAGTGAGACTGACCAGACCCTGCCAGGAAAGGGAGACAGACTGACCCCTCTGCCAACGTCCTTCATATCATGTAAAGGAAATGGCAGTTCTTGTCTTCTCTTACACTGGAACTGAAGCTCTTGGTAAAAATACCCTTAATCCACAGAACTCTTTCTTCCACCTTCTCATCTTCCTTTATACTCTTCCTTTGTCTTTTTCCCTTTCTGTATTTCTCTGTTCTATAATCTGGAAAATTCTGTGTATTCTCTAGACTGATCTACAGTTTCCAAGGATCTGCCTTCAAAGTACCTACCATATTACCTTTATTAACTCAGACCCCATCGCTGTGAGTGAAATGGTCAGTTATTTCTCTGATGGACAAAGGAAACCACTTCAAACTCAACTTTGTAATTTTGTTTCAAGGTATCATTTTGGTTTTCTTTCCACATTTAATGGCCTCACTAAATCTCGTGGAGCAACTCTGTGACTCATTCGCCATGATTCTTCATTACACAGAGGCTCTGTGGCCTGGTTTCTTGAGTTGACAAGCCTGTGGGGACTTCTGAGAGGGAGACACTTAGCTCTGAGAGTTAGATCATCTTTTCCAGAAAGCAGAGC